AATAAAATAAAACTAAAAGTTCTCAAAGAGTTGTAAGCACATGCAAACGTTTAAATATGCTTATAAACAACTGAAGCATAGATAGACGAATGCTTGTCGGTTCAGCGCGATTGTAAGCCAGTCAAAATATCTGGTTCTGTACGTGTATAAACACCAAAAAAAAAAAAAAAAGAAACAGAGAAAAAGCGCAAAAAAAAAACATGAAATAAATAAAAAGGCGTTTTCACCCGGACTTTATTTTGTAGTTGAAATCAGTACAACACAGGCAGAGAGTTCCGTTTTAAAATTTTACTCAGTTACGTGTGTTCATCTAAGGTCAAACGTTACCCACAAATCTTACTACAACAAAAAAAAAAAAAAAAATTACATATATATATATATATGTATATTTAAATTGATCCTCATAATCATCATCTTTGTTCTTTTGCTTGTTCTCTTTTAAGATTTAATAAAGTTAGGAAACCTTGGTATGACTACCTACCTACCTACCTATCCTATCAATATAAAATTTATTCTTTCTTAGCAGCGTAACTGACCATCTAACACAATTACGTTGCTTTATGTTATTTGTATTAGTATTGCAGTTACCTTTAACTTCTTAACTTAATTTTTTTGAACGATTTTCATAATTCACCTAAAAATGTTTATTAGCTGCCGTCATTGCTATTGATTTTAGATTTCTCGTCGCGCGCATTGTCGTACAACGTAACTGACTACCACTGCTAATCCTATCCAGATATATCTGTGTTCTTTCTTCTTCATTTATAATTTTACAAAACTATTGTTGTTGTTCACTTTGACTTCTATTGCTGCTTTTCACATAATGCCTCATCGCTGATTTAATTCTACATTTTACTTTGTTATGACGATAACCTTATCCTCTGCGTCTTTCCCCATCATCGTCATCGAACTGTTAGGTAAACACAACATGTGAAAACGCTATACATGGGGCACGGCCCACCACCCTACAGCTATTCATATAACGACTTTTGAAGACAAGGTGTTGTACAGGAAAAGCTCGACGATCGAAAGTAGTTCGATTTGAACAACTTTCAATAGCGTTCGTCCTCGGGCAATAGCACGTCAGTCAGTGTAGAAATTTTTATCAAAATATCTCAGAAATTGCGGCTTGCACATGGAACTTAGGAAAACAAGAGGGACAGACAGACGGACCGACAAGGTTAGATCGATTCAGAGAGGAATTCTGAATCAGTCAATATAATAAAAATGGGTCTATCTCAAGTCTTTCTTCCTCTTGCACACATCCCCTCAAACTTAATATAACTTTTTATAGTAAGTACACACCACAAAACTGTAAAATTGCAAAGTAATCTACAGCAGTTGTTTTTTTTTTTCATAAAGAAAGCAAAGACAGTCCACTTCATGTTTGAAAATATTTTAATCAAATTAAATTAAAACAAACGATAACAAGTCGGCAATAGCAAGCTCAAGATCGATATATGAATGGCCAGCTCTTCACTTTAGGTAAGCCATAGAATTCTGCAAAGATTCTAAGTGTTTCTAAATATTATGTGATTTCAATTCGCCTGAGTGGCCAAGTAGGTAAAGAATCTCGATTAACAACTTAATCGTCGTGAGTTCAAATCTCAAGTGCGGTAGACTTTCCTATAAAGCCGTTATCTTTAGCATCATGTGCTTTAAGACTTTAGTTTTAGAACTTACTTCTCTGCTTAAGCAGATGTGATTTCAGTGTTCACATGGCGATAGCCTTCATAAAGATTATGCAACCAAATGCTTAAAACCATTCTTGCTTAATATGGATAGTGAAACGGGTTTAATTACGTATAGGCAGCTGCCCGCCTGAGTATTATAAATGACTTTACAATTTTGTCTGTTAAGAAGAAATTTTGTTTAAAATTTTTACTTATGCATATGCACACGTTAATGCTAAAATAGGCGTTTTTCATAAGAACGATCTGAACAGTGTCTCGACAAGTGCTCCCATCGATTGAACCGAGAAATATTTTGCAATTATCTTCATTCACATGTGTTGGAAAGTGGAAAAACTAAAAGATTTATATTAACATAATCACTTCACTTGTAAGTGAACTTTTGATTCGATTTTGCCGAATTTTAATTTTGACGAAAAGATTTTGAAAGGAAATATTTACGTGCAAAAGAAGTAAAAACACTACAGTGGGATCACTGCCGACAATTACATACCCCACACCACCCTACAATTATTTGCAAAACGACTTTTAACAAGTAGGCTTTATATGGGCAATAGACGAAAAAGAGGCCCGATTCGAACCGTTTTCAACAGCGTTCGCCCGTGGCCAAAAAGAAAAGTTTCATCAAAACATCTCAAAATTTTTTCTCTTTCTTTTTCCCAAATCGTCTCAGTCGGTATGATAAAAAGTGAATCCTCTATCTCAGGCTCTCCTGGCCCATCTGCACAACCTTAATATACTCTTGTGCAACAAGTAATGTAGGGTATAACAAGTCCCAGTTTCCTTCATACTCAAGTTGTAACAAAAATTATTTGGACAAACTGTGTCCTCCTAGAGCAAAGGCTTCAAGTTATAATCGTGATCAAACGATAGAGAATAAACATGACTAAGTCGATTTTGTTATACTTGTTTGTAACACATTGCAAAGTCTTCGAGGCGTATTTTAATGCGTTTCAGCCAAACTACAATACACCTGTCATAGAGAGTATACTCTTTTCTTATAATCACATAAAATCCCTAATAATTGCAGCGAAAATTTTACATTCTAATCATCTATTTTTTAATTTTTAAAATTTTAATCCTCTCTGTGTTCAACTGAAAAGCCAAAAAAAAAACAACCTAAAGATAAAATTATTTTAAATAGAAATCAAAAATGGAAAAAACATGTGACTTTGACAGGAAAACACAAAAAAGGTTAAAAAAAAAAAAGAATAAAAAAAAAAAATGAATCGTAAAATATTTAGATTAGCAATAAATCCCGAAGTCATTGTAATTATATAAAAAAAAATAAATAAAGATGCCAACAATAGTTAAGCGGAGAAGAAATCTATAAACACAGTTACCAATCAGTATGCAGAACATAACGACCGGTAAAGGTAGTCGTCAACACACCGTAAAGAAGTGTGGCGCCGAAAATCGATTTACTTCTCTCATACCGTTAGTTCGTCTGTCTTACTAAGAATTAGATAAAAATGTAAAATTGTCTACTTAACCAAGTGAGGTCGGTCTTGAGTAAATATTTTGTGAATGGAAACTTTTTTCTTTTTTTATAATTTTCCAAAATGATATAAAAATTTTAATATGCATTACATATATATTTTTTTTCATTTCCACAACAACAATTGATAATAATAATGACAATTAATAATGTTTTAGTCCCTTAAGAGTATTCTTTCTTTCGGCTTTTCTCACCTGTACCGGCATAAAGTAGAAAAAAAAAAAAATAATAATAATAATAATAATAATAAAATAATAATAATAAAACTTCTATAGCCTCCCGGGTGGAAGACGTCTTTTGTTTTTCAAATCCTCTCTCTACTATTATCTTCTTTGTCATGCGTAGGTAATGCGAAAGGTGTTATAACATAAATGTACGTGAATTTAAAACAAATATTATTGCGTTACTCCTACTTTTCTAGTAGCAAATTGTTTCTTATTGTGTAGGTAAACATTTTTCACGTTCTGCTTAAAATCAATTAACGCCAGGTATTTATTTGTAATTTTAAAACTTTTCCTTATGCCATTTTCGTGAGGTATAAAATGAAAAACGAAGATGAAAGGTTAACTAACAAAAATTCCGATGCTTTACTCTCTTTTTGGACAATGGAGGAAACAACTATGTATCAAAAGAAGCATAAAGTGTTTATTGTTTTAGAAGAAAGAATAAGTAATGATAGCAAAATGTTCTATTTACGTTAAAGCAAATTTTAAATACCACTCATATCGCTCATCTACATCGAAAGTCAAAACCATTGTTCCAGCGGAAACACAAGAATATAAATGTCGTTGAAATCGTTGAAAGAAGATCGCGAAATTATTTGAGAATTACTTGGTAGGCCATCATCAACAATAAAAATTTGTCGTGTAAGTCTTATGAACTCGTTCGTCAGTTTTTCTTTACATATTTTCAGCAGCCAAGAGGTGGTTGGTGGTTTCGTAATAAAATTCTAATGAAAAACGTTCCATTCAGTTGGCAACGATTCCTTTCGTTCGCTTACTCGTTACTGCCGGCCTTCTGCGTATCGTGCACATTGTACTTCGAATCATATGTTTATAGGATAGAGATGAGTTTTCCATCTGATTTAAAGGGTTTTCAAGCTTTCGTTAAACCTCTCTATTTCTCTCATTAATTCAGAATTGCTGAGACAAAATTTGGAAAAAGAAGGAAGGCAGACTAAGTGAGATACGGTTTATTGTATAAGTCCTAGCCGTGCTGACGTTCTTAACTCGACTTTTGCTATTAATAAAATTTCAAGACAATCCGTAGTAAATGGAAAAAGCCAACGGTTCGGCACCTACAGAAACCCTACTTTGGATACCGATGCATTTAAAAATTCAACTTTAAAATCCGGTGAAATTCTTTTCTTCTAACGTTTAATGCCTGGCTTTATGGCCTTGAGTACTTCTATTACCGTGACAGCATCCGATTACAATTTTTTTCACTATCTTTTGGTTCTGATGCAATCATCCAATGCATTGAAGGTACCTGCAATATGGACCTGTGACCACGTAATACAAATCAAGCCTCTGAAGCATTTAAAGTTTTATCACTTCCTCCTACCATCTTTCTGTTATATCCAAATATCATTTTTAGATTATCGTTTACAAAGATGATAGTCATCTCTTAACTTATTTTACTCTAATTTTATTATTTAGACGCTTTTCTGTACCCGTCACTGCAGGTTGGGTTCTTGGCGAAACAAACGATATCTCTTCTTTTTTTTTTTTTTAAGATAACGACTACGGATTTAATCTAATTTACTTTTTGTAAGTTTTTTTTGGTTTTATATGTACAAAGTTTTTTATATATCACACTAACATACATTTCTTAAAAGGATTCATTTCTGAACCAAATTTACATTTAAAAGTTGAACTAAACTCTGGCATGTTATGTAATATGCCAAGTACACGAAATTCACCATAGGCATGAGAATCAGTTACAATATGTTCCATTTTGTAGGCATCGTCACGTCCAATACAAAATGTCTGAGCCAATTTAATGAAAAACAACTCATCATTGGTGAAATTCATAGCTTTTATAGGCTTTTTATTGCCTTCAATAGTTCCGGCACGACGATTATATGCCGCATAAGCCAATCGTGCACCGATATTATCGGCTATATTGTCAGGCATTGTTTGTGTTGCGTTTGTCTTCACGCCACGATAAATGAATCTATTATACTGATTTTCTAAGCATTGACGGAACTGCCGATAAGTGAGTTGTGCTTGGAACGACCACCATTGTTCAGCTTTCCCATCGTAATTATAACGATAACTATTTGTATCGAAGCCGTGACATATTTCGTGACCGATCATCAAACCAGTACCACCGAATTTTAGCGAGGACGGAAAGCTAATATGATATAAGGGCATTTGCGCGATCCCAATAGTGACGAAAACCGCGTTAATGAAATCAGCGTAATAGGCATTGACACTGTAAGGCGAGAGCAGAGGAGGTAATACGAATTTATGTACTGAACTTTTACGCAACCGGGCGCGATTTATTTCTAGCTGCATAAGATTATTGTACCAATCATTCGATATATTTAAATACCCATAGACTTGGTCAAGCACTTCGCGATGGCGCATCTCATCACTATAGCCGACTGATAAATCCATTGAATCTAATTTGGCCATAGCTTCAGACTTAGTCTTTCTATCAAGCCATCGGGCCGCGTCAACAATTTCTTTAAAATGTGTCCTTAAAGAGTCGGCCAATTTTAGGGTATCTTCTCGACGTTCATTATCAAAGAATATTTCACTAAACCATGGCACCAGAGCGTAACTGAAATAAGTCTCAGTATGGAATAAACAAATTTTTTCTCTGTGTGAATCATTTTCAACTTCCAGGCCCCAAATACCGTAAAAATTCAATAAGGTACGCCATTTAATATAATTGCGCAGAGTTTCGATTTTCGATTTACGTAGAAATCGCTCTAAGCTCGTGAAATTCGCGATTTTATTATTAATAATCCAATTATCCTGCGCGTGACCATTGAAACCAATTTCGATAAATTTTGTCCAATTAACTGCATCGTTTTGATGCTTCCGCAAAAACTCATTTAATGGAAAGTGTTCTGTTTTCTTAAGTGATTTAACTTTGGAGGTTAGATTAGCTTCGAAATCCAAAATAACTTTGAAATCTTCTTGACTACTTTGCATTAAGTGTAAAAAGTTTGTGTCATTTTTACGAGTTTTCAAGAACGCAACAGGTGGTATTATGGATATTTCAAACTCTCGATGCACATGACTGTAGTTGACAAATACAGGCAACAGGGGATAAATTTCGTATTGCGAGAGAAAGTTGACTTTCATCCAAGCATCTTTTTCGTTTTCTTCTAATTGTAATCGTTCAAATGACTCGTCCTCGGCAGCCATCAAAGACTTAACACCTGCACTTAATTCTTGCGGACTTAAGCAGCTCTGAAAGAAAAGTTTAGCTCTGGCTTCAGCCGTTGTTCGATTTAGCTCTTCGTCCGTTGCGTTATACAAGAATTGAATAATTTTTTGCTTAATTTTTTTCGATATTGCACGCAAAAGTGAATCATTTCGAGATTCGGCTGGTACTCGTAAGCTATATCGCCAATTTCCGCAGGCGTATTCATAGAAATTTTCACATGGATCGATAGTTAAATTCATAATATCCAGCATATATAGGCCAGTCTCCTGCAATAGCTCATCTTCATCTATTACTGTTGGCAGATCAAAAACTGTCGCCTGCCTTTCATTTGCAGCTTCAGTTACTTCGGGGATGGTACTGTCAATTATTGAATTATCATTGGAATCTTGACTTATTACTCCGATTGCGTAGTCAACTTTTACTTGATTTAAAGTGGATAGAAGAACACCGATCACTAACACGTAATGTCTTAATAGCATTTTCTTCGTTCGATCATTAAATTATGCTAACGCAGCGGCAGTAATTTCTTTTTCAATTTTATTATAATAATTCTGCTGAACGGCTGAAAGTGGTTTAACCGATAAATCATAATTACTTGGTTTTTATATCACTGTTGTATGGGTTTATTCAAGAATTTGCTTCAAGTCTACAAAACAGTTGTTTTTAACAACTTTTATTCAAATCAAAATCAATATTATTGCAAAAAAAAAAAAAAATAAAAATAAAGATATATATAATAATAAACAAGGCTTTTGCGTGTAATGGTCTCAAGTCGGGTGTGGGTAGAAAAATCTGTTTTAATGTTAACGTTAGAAGAAAAGAAGAACGAGTCGTGAATGTGAAAGAAAAATTATATTATGCAGTGGTACACTTGTTAAAATCTTCCTCTTCATTGGCCAGTATTTATTTATACAGCCTTGTGTTTGCAGACATACATTTTTTTGAAATGAATAAAATTTAAGCTGCTGAGAATATCTTGCGAAATATGAATAAACGATTAGTGTATTAGTGGGTGTACATAAACTCATCAAGGTAAAGGTTGACGATAATGCTTTTTCACCAAAATTAAAAAAAAAAAACACTTTCTACAATGAACTGACTTGATTAAACCAAATACAAGCCATTCTGACCGATAATCAAACCTTTGCCGCTATTCTGATCAAACTATTGTACCATAATTGCATAACTTGCGTGATTTCCCCGAGTAAAACTAAGCCCAGTGATCTTTTCAAGCCTCTTCTTTCAAGTGAGGTTTTTACACTGTTCAGAGACTACCACAGAGAGCAAAAGAAATGCTAGTCAAACTATGTACCGGGTTATGTGCCTGATCCACCCAAATTCTCTATCCAAGCGATGCGCCCTAGACTTGGCCGCGAGGAGTACCGAAGCATTTTTTACTGTTTAATTCTGAACGTTTCACCTCAGTCGCTCGCTTTAATTGGATTAGTTTTTGATAGTAACAAGTGGAATCATTCTTCTAGTGAAGGCGGAGGAGCACCTGATGATTTAACCATTGAACGGTAGCTTACAAATCTTCGGTTCAGATTTTGCCAAGCTTTGTGCAATTTCGATCCCCTGTTAATTTGACGGGCGTCTTTTTATAGTAAGCCTCAGTTTCGCAACAGTTTTTAATGCAACAAAATTTAGTTCCACAGCGGGGTCATAAGATGGCAAATGTCCTCAAATTGTTGAAGAATTTCATTGATTTCTTTACCACAGCGCGGTGCATCCTTAACACTGAATTTTTCAGAGTTTGAAAAATTATCTTTGCTGTAAACTTGCTGCAGAGCTAGCATCTTAAGCGAAGCTATAATGGAATAAATAGTGATTTCGTATCATTTTAAAATATGATTACTTGAGAATTAATTGAGAAATGTCACAATACTTTTGCCTAACTACGAACGGACCGTCACTCTTCATAGGATTACTACAGCCGAAGTTAGGCGGCTCTAAAGTCTTCTGTTGAAAAAACTTTTCTGCGTGATATTTAATACATACGTACGTACTACATATTATATAATAATATATATTTATATATTAATTATATATTAGGTTGGGAAGGATGAACCCGGAACTAGCCCCTACTGACTATCCGTTCCATTAGTAATTTTCATCAGAAAACTATTATAGTCCAGCAATACTGTAAAATTAACTGTCCATGATCTTATTGACTTTCGTCGGACAAGGTTTTATATCACCGAGCCGATCGCTCCGTCGCTTAACTGACAAAAGTCCATAAACAAACAAAATGCTTACTTTGCTCAATAATATTATTTATTATATTTGGAAGCTATTAACCATCTTGGACTTTTTTTTTTTTTTAAATTGCATTCTCAATATTCAAATGTTAGTATAATATCTTATATTTATTATGTGGGAAAGAATTCCTACGACTATGACGACTTAAAACGCCTCTAAATTTCCGTATAAATTATATTATCTTGAGTAACACAAAACAGGTACAGTGAGAGCCTGCAACTATTTTTATGATCATTAGATAGAGACACCTTCCAGTCTCATTCGGGCAGTCTACTATTCCTCACAGATTCTTTTAGCATTGCGGACAAATTAAAATGCTAAGCGAAACCCTGGCAATCAAAAATGTGCTATATTGAACAGAGGCAGTCAGCATTAATCTGCAAATTGTCGCAATCTGAGAAGCTAAGATGCTTTCAATCGCCTGTTTGCATATTTTCGAATTTTTTTTGGGCTTAACGATCACTCATTTGCTTCTCCTGGTTTATATAATCTTAACAAGAAAAAGTATACAAAGCATATTTTCGAAAAGAATAAATATATGTCGATAGCGAATATAAATTAATATTCAATTGGAGCCATACATTTGGAGCTGTGTTTTAAAATGGATTGCACTCTTCGTTCATCTTAGTGTAGAGAAAGAACTTCTAAAAATTTCGCATGCAGAGAAAAATGAAGACGTTACCATATACAGAGGGGTTGTCATGAAGGCATGCTTTTGCATGGCGACAAAATCGAACTTGTGGTTTGTTATGGCAGAAGCAATTGGAAAGTCCTGAGATCTTTGACAAGTCAACTAGCTTTGCTGAATTTGAATTACGTTAGTTAACGTTTTGGGTATCCTCCAGTATGAGAGCCTTAATGAAAATTATGCGGGCAGGAAAGAAAATGGTTAAAGGACTATATTAAGCGAAGTGCACGACCTTTCTCTGTTATAAAATTCTTAATTATTTTAAACAACTAAAGATTTAACGAAAAAGACTAAAAGCTTTGATTAAAATAAATGGAAAGGTTTCCTGCAAAACTATTGGCACAAAATACCTGCTTAGCCGCTAAGCTAGCCGATGTGTTTAAAAAAGGATTAGAAAAAGTAAAAACACTGTAATGAGTTACGGCTCACCATTGAATACTCTACACCGACGACTGTGCAAGCTAAGGCGTTGCATAGGACTTGTTCTCCTCGAGCCGAAACCCATCGTAGCACTAAATTTCATCAAAGCAAAAACTGCGACCGGTAGATTGAGCAAAAGAAATAAGATGGACAGACAAGATATTAGATCGCTTCAAAAAGTGATTCCATTTCGATTGGTATAGTAAAAAAGGTGGACCTAGCTACTGCATGGATCCCCACAAAGCCAATATACCCCTGCACCATAAATGGTGTAGGGTATAAAAAGTGAATAGATTCTAAAAGAAAGTTCTTTCAAGGAATATATTTATTTAAGTGTTAAACAACAGAAATTAAAGAAAAACTTTACTAAAAGGAAAAATTTCTTTACTACTTCTTCTCACTTGCTTAGACGCAGCAGTTAAAGCGACAGAAATTGTTTTGGCGGTTTTGTTAAACATGTATTATAACAACCATTAAATCCTTCCGCCAAAAAACACTAATGTACAGCTGTTGCACTAGCAACTGTGACGATGAGTTGCGTGCGGTTAACGAAGCGCAGGCCAATGTTGAATACAATATATCTCTGCATATATATTTAAAAGTCTATGCACATAGCGATATATTGATTGAAAAGTATTGTTACTCTTCTTGTTGAACAATTGTCCAAAAGAAATTGCGTTACAAACATTCAAACGTTAACAATTGTTGGAGTTGCAAGGAAGACTAATACAAAAAACTTAAATTAAATCCTTTTTCAGGCTCAATTTGATTTGTAAGAAAGAGTAAAGAAAGAAAGTAAAATCCGAGGAAACATAAAAAATAAAACATCATGCAGCCGCAACCGCCAATCACGAAATAAGAAAAAGAATCAAAAAAAAAAAAACCGTTTTTTTTTTTTTTTTCTTGTAAAGGAAAGAAACATCGATGAACATTAAATGTAGAAAATACTTTCTTAAACACTTTTTAAGCCAAATACAGGATTTAACACAAGCTGATCTAACATGACAGAATTCTCGTTCTTTAATCGGTGAGGAAAATTGAAATGTTTTAGAAATAAAGTAACGAATAAAAATGTTGTTTTTTTTTTCACTACGGTAATCACTTATTGTGTTACTTTTGAAATGTACCTGGTTTTGAATCTTTTTTAACACTTTTCGCCCCAAGACGAAACATTATATAAAAGATAGGTTGTGCAGGATTTGTTACAATCTGCGCTGCTTTCTTCATTACATTTTTTTCTTTTCTATACAAACGTATAAGTCCTATTTGCGGCGAAGCTAATGATGGCGATGACGATGATGATGATGATGATGATGATGATGATGTAATACTTTTGGAATATAGTAAGAAATTTCTATAGAAAAAAGCAAAATTCCATTGTGTGTCTTGATAGCTGGGAACAAGTAAAAACGTTATTGTCAGACGAGGCCGACCAATGCACCATTTCGCTTAATACAATTCCAAATATTACGCTTTCTTTCGAGAAAACCTTTATACGGGAGAAGGTCCAAAACGCATATTAAAATGATATTATTTTGCTCATTAAGCAACGCTGAACGCTGAAAGTCGGAGAGTTTCATAAAATAAACGAAAAGGGCCCTAAACTCGGTACATTTAATTTTCTTGTCGAATTACCACTATGGACTTTGGGTTTCATTACTTTCTTAGGAGAGTTCGTGTTATCATCTTGGTCTCACTAAGTCAGCGATGTGTAGCTTGAAAATAAAAATTCATGGACAGATGGACAAACGAGCCTAAATCAGCTCAAAAATATATAAAAAAAGTTTAAGCCTTAGTCGTTGTTACACAGATCCGAACAAATTTAATATACCCAAAACCAAAGTTAGTGTATCGTATAAACCGGTGGCGGATGTTTGGTATTTTCTTTCAAGTTTTAAAAATGTATTCACTTACTGCATTTAAATTGTTTGATTGGTATTTGTTAACTTGGCGGTACGTGAATTAGCGTGCGGGAAAATTCCCTTCACATTCAAAACTTGAATCAAAATAAACAACTTGAAAAGATCGAATTTTTTAAGTAAAGAAGCGAGGCTAGATAAGATTTATGTGGAACGGACAAAATCGTGCATCACGGAGTACATCGGGTATCCTCTCGAGTTCTTGCAAACCTATCAAAATTTGTTCAAACCTGGGGCGCGTAATCTCTTCGCTTCACCCACTGCGTTTTAATAATCTGTAGAA